ACTTGGTCATCCAAACGGATGACAAGGCCGCAAACGAACGGCAGTCCCAGCCGCATTATGTGGCTAAGCAGGGCTATCAACGACCGGCACATAACAATGTTGTGATTTCGGAAGAAACAGTCGATCTCCACGCTGCAGCAACATCCTCGAGTGATGGAGGAATTGTAGCAGCGCTCCCGCCGAAGCGTCCCAAGAGAGTTCGGAAGAACAAGGCGACACAAGAGACGGCATCGACGAGAACTGGGCAGCAGTCATGGACGGCATACAAGACAACCAAGGAAATCTTTGACTTACGTCAACGGTACGGTTATTGCCTATGGTGCAATAGTGTCGTACACACTACCGCACAATGCCCGGACAAGGGCAAGGCACGCGTACCCCGTCCAGCAAACTCGGGAAACTAAGTTACGCAAGGAGAGGGGCGACGTCTCTCCTCACTCCGCCGGACCCGATTGCCTTGCTAGCAATCGATGTCACTACCGGGGAGCATGCGTTAGTTGCTGATTCTCGTGCTACATACGAGGATTATGCCGCCCAGTTGGTACCACCACTAGACCAGCCGAGCCACGTGCACTTAGATTGCGTATGCGCAGCCTGTACACCGTCGGCAAGTGATCCGGTCAGTTCGCCACTGATTTTCGAGGACTCGACGGCGTGGTCAAGACTTGAGGAGCTTGACCTGCTCACGAGAGAGGACTTCGCTTGGATGCCTCTACCCTCGACCGGAACCTTGCCAAGGCCGCATTGTAACGCCTTAATGGCAAATCTACGCTCCTATTTGCACACTACAGTACCAGCTTCGTTGACGGACGACGGAGTAGCGGTTGTCGATCTCCGCTCCTATCTTGCGAAGATTGACCGCGAGTACGCCACCCAAAGGTACGCCGAAACCGACGCGCCTTTGCTCTATATCCGCATTCAAATCGGAAAGGCAACCTGTAGTGCCTTGATTGATTGCGGAGCATCTCGCAACTTTATGAGCCAAGCCTTTATGGCCCGCGCGTTCGAAGGAAGACACAACCCACGCAAGTTACACTCGCAGACGACCGCATGCAGAAGTTGATTGACCGATGCGTCGACGGCGTTCCGGTATACTTTGCGCCACTTGCGTGCATGCCGGTGTCTTTTGACATCCTCGACACCAAGTTCGACATGATTCTAGGCATGTCTTGGTTGCGTAGCGCCGATCATCTGGTGAACTTCCATGACCGGACCGTTCACATCCGTGATCGGAACGGAGTGTTAGTCCCATGTACGGTTGCGACCCCTCACACTTCGATTGCTTGTCACGTGGTTTCCATTGCGAGAATTCGCAACGCCATAGCTCGGAATGACGTCGAGGAGATGGGCCTTGTATTCTTGCATGCTCTCCCCTCGCCGGACGGACCAGCCGCGTCACCGCCGGACCCACGCATTTCTCACCTCTTGGACGAGTATAGAGACATCTTCGAGGCTCCCACCGGAACGGTTCCGGATCGGCCCATACGTCACGGGATCACTCTCGAGGCTGG